GACAATTTGGCAGCAGTGACAACAAGCCTAAATGCAGAGACAGAAGGCAATGGGAGCCATTTTTTGCATAGAAATTGGAGCTTCGGCACCTAGCATCTCTGCCTCAGCCTTTAGTCCTGTTTGACATTTTCATTTTTTTGCCAGCTCTGTGCATAACTTGTATTTTTACCTTGGGGATAGGGGGTGCGGTAAATGTTAGTGATATGTGAGGTGGTTTTGGTGCACACTGTTTTTGCACTTAATTTTGTTTTTTAAACAATGCAGTAGTGTTTCATGAACATAGACCAGCTACCAACACATTGTCGGCAAAAATGGTATGATCACCCCCAAAAAAGTCTATATGAACACAAAATATAAAAACAAGATCCACCCAAAAGAAAAAAAGAAAACCCTAGAATACCACCTCCCAAAACAAAAGCCCTTTGTTAGGAAATACCTTTCAGCTAATAAAGAAAGAAGAGCAGTTTTGTTACGGATGGCTCAGCAGCAAATGTATAATGCTGTCCTCAAATGAAGTACAAACTAAAAAAATAAATAATCCTAATAAGATCATAAATGGCAACAAATAGAATAATTGCCTAAGAGCTAACAATCAAACCTGTTGCTGACAGATAGTAGTCCTAATAAGTGCTTTTGGCTAAGCAGGGACCTGTGAACCTGTTTTGGGGGTGCATACAAGAGCATGTACCCTACCTCTACAATTTACAAATTGAAATCCTAGTTCGCTGACTGATCCTAATCATTGTCTCTAATCTCTTTCTGTAATTAATCAGTAAGCTCTACCTATCCTGTACATGCCGCCCGGCTTCCTGATTGCCCAGGAAGCCGACTCCATGTCAGTGATAGCACCGGTATCGGTACTCGGTATCAGCGAGTACAGAAAGCAAAATATCAGTACACGTACTCAATACCAATAAAGGTATCGGTGCATCCCCAAAGTAAATTGTACCCCTCGATCATAGCTTACATTATCATGAACGCCGTGAAGTCCGACGATTTCTTTCAAAAAGATTTGTGCTGTTTCAGCTGCAGACGAAGTTCCCTTCACTGGAAGAAAATGCGCCATCTTAGAAAAATTATCCACCACCACGAAGATCCCTGTAAATCCCTCAGAAGGGAAAAGCTCAACTATAAAATCCATTGAAATCATGCTCCAATGTCTTTTCGGGACAGGAAGACATTTCAGCAGACTCCAGGCTGTAGAATGACTTCCCTTATTTCGGATGCAGATGACACAAGAATTAACATCATTTTTACAGTCAGACCCCAGATTTAGCCACCAAAAGTAACGCTGGATCAAGTTCAAAGTCTTGTGGTTCCTGAAGTGCCCTGCCAGAGAAGAGTCATGACAGAGTCCCAAAATAATATTGCAGAGGGGCTGGGGTATAAAGATTTTTCTATTATGGAAGAATGGTCCATCGTTTTCCTGCACAGGTATATCTTGCGGTAGGCAGTCTCTAGAAGATGCTTGCTGAATCTGAGAAACAAGATCAGTCTGTAGAAGCAAGAAATTGTTAGCCTGTAAAATTGTCTCAGGTTGAGTGCATGAATCAGGTTCCGAAAATATTCGAGACAGGGCATCAGGTTTGCCATTTTTGGATACCGGGCGATACGCGATATGAAAATTGAATCTTGAGAAAAACAGTGCCCATCTTGCCTGCGGGGTCTCAAACACTTTTCATATCTCACATATTCAAGGTTCTTGTAATCTGTAAAGACTAGGATTGGATGGGCCGCACCCTCAAGCAAAAAGCACCACTCTCGATCACCTACATCATAATTTCTTTCAGCAGAACTTAATTTTCAGGAGAAAAAGGCAACGGGGCGCAACAAAGATTTAGGCCCCTGATGTTGGGCTAAAATGGCTCCTACTGCGTTTTTGGAAGCATCGACTTCCAAGTCTGGGTTCTTCAAAATTGGGGCAGATGTGAAAAGTTTTTTAAGTTTGTCAAAGGCGGATTGTGCCTCCAAAGTACACTGAAAGCACCCCTGCTTCCTAGTAAGTTTGGTAATTGGGGCGATAGTATCAGGGAATCCCTTAATACATTTCCTGTACAAATTGGCGAACCCAACAAAGCACTGTACCCCTTTCTTGTCACACGGGGTCCAAAATTGCAGAACATTTCTGTGGGTCCTTCAGTGGATATGATAAGGACCAGGAACTGGATAGATTGTTGATCAAACTCACATTTTTCGGCTTTAGCATAAAGTCCGTGCTGCCGGAGTCTGGTTAGAATTTACCAGTTAGTCTTACATGTTTATAGTGTTGTTCTTGAGAAGCCGAAAAGATGAGAATGTCTTCCAAATAAACTATGGGAAAGAGATCTAGAACGTCCAAAAAGACGTCATTGACAAAGTGCTGAAAGGTTGCAGGGGCATTTCAGAGTCCAAAGGGCATTACCAGATATTCAAAATGGCCAAATCGAGTTCTGAAGGCAGTTTTCCATTCATCACCCCACAAATCCAGACAAGGTTATATGCCCCTTGGACATCCAGCTTGGTAAAGATGGCAGCGGAGCAGAGTCTCTGAAATCATTCTGCCACCAGGGGGAGTGGGTAGTGTACTTCATAGTAATTTGATTTAGGGCTCTGCAGTCAATACAGGGTCGAAGAGAGTGATCTTTCTTTTCTACAAAGAATATTCCAGCACCAGCAGGAGAGGTAGAAGGGTGGATGAATCCTTTTTTGAGGTTGTCATCAATATATTCCTTTAGAGTCTCAAGTTCTGGCTCTGATAAGGGATAAATGCATCCAAAGGGAATTTCCGCCACAGGAAACAGATCAATAGGGCAATCATAAGTCCAATGTGAAAGGATATCAGCCTTTTCTTTGTTGAAAACATCCAGAAAGGCTTGGTAGACTGATGGAATAATCTGATGATGGTCTGGGTTGTTGTTCTGATGGCAAAAGAATATGGATGATGCAGGCGCTGAGCACAAACAGTTCTGCAGGCAGTAGGGGGATAGGAAGGAAACTCTCCCCATGTCCCAGTTGATGAGTGGATTATGTGCCTGCAACCAGGGCATACCTGATATGATAGGAAATAGAGGAGATGCAATTACATCCAAACAAAGAAGTTCTGTGTGCCCTGGTTTGAAGGTGGCAGAGATAGGAGAAGATTCATGTGTGACGGGACCAGATTTGATGCTTGATGCGTAAAGTAGAGGTTGCCCCGATCCCCCATGAAGCATTCCGCTATCGGTACTCGTGGTTCAGGCGGAGGAGCCATAACTGTGGGAATCTGAACGGATGCGCTGGAAGCTGGTGGAGAAGGAGATGTAATGGAAACTGTTGCTGAAGCCCGTGACAAAGACTGAAGACGGCCCGGAGGCTGAAAATAGCCTTCTTGTAGTCCCTTGACAGCCTGGGTAAGTGCAGCTATTTGCTGGCAGAGTTCCTCCATGACTGAGGCCCCCCTCAGGCCAGATCAGCAACTTGTGGTCAGCGAAGTACAGAGTAGCAGACAGGAGCGTGGTCATAAAGAAGCCAAGGTCAAGGGAATCCAGAAGAGCAGAAGAATGGTCAGCCAAGCCGGGTCAAACACCAAAAGATCAGGGTCAGGATGCTGGGTACAGGGAACAGCTTGAAGACCAGTCAGCATTAGAGGCTAGAATGTCACAGCCTTAAATAGCCCGTTTAGCAGGAAAATCCGCAACACGCTTGTGCGCATGTCTGCAGAGGTGCCCGGCAGTGCACAATTTTGTGAGCCAAACTATGCCCACACAGATGCGCATGAGCAGGTGCTCGTGCAGGATTCCAAGCACAAGGGCTAAGCTTGGCTTCCTGACACCAGCATCGGTCATTAACAAACTTATGATGAGGAGATAATCCTGTCATCGGGAAGTGGTTAAGCTCCCTAGAAAAAAAAAAGCTTAATGTCACTCATTTGCCTTGTGGGAAACCAAAACCCATGCAACCTCTAGGATAGGTTTGGGAAGTTGAAAAGCCATTTTCACATTACATGTTTTAGGATGCCCCACAATTTGGCTTTTCATCAAGAAAATTTAAATCCCAGAAAGTTGCAGCAAATTTATCTTAGAGTTTAACCAAATCTCATAGCTACTTCTAATGTGCATGGAACACTGATAGTACCTTTAGAACTATTGGAACCAATAGATCAAAACAAGTAGCCCCTTGAAACTGAAAAATTGCTGGAAATATCAGACAGTAATATGCTCGGACAGACAATTCAGGCATCACTGGTCAGTATATATCTGAATCTCATTCAAACGGAGCAACTCACTAAGGCTTTTTTAGGTAAAGTTTTCCATTCTCCATAAAAGTTACATCCTGCTTAATGAATGATGCAGTTACATAATTACATACCGGTAGTATTTGAGGTTGAATAAAGACACAGGTCCATCAAGTTCAACCTCTGTGTGTCTGTGTGTGTGTTGTACGTGCATGTGTGTATACGAGTCCCTGTGTGGTCTAGTGTACTCTTAGTACCTGTACCCCTGTTCCAAAATGTAACCACTCTGACTGAGAAGAAGCCCCTATCCCCCTTGTGGTAAATCTTTTCTCTACTAATTTTAGGTATTGGCCTCTAGTCTTTGTTAGGGAATTTAAAGTAAAAAGTTTATTGCTAATGTTGCCATCTCCACTAAACACTTTGTACAACAGTTCACTGATTGAGATTTACTGATAATAAAACACATCCTGTCATGTGAAATTCTGTGGGTGGGAGGTTATCCTTTAACTTTATAGAGACATAACTCATGCACAGGATGTCCTATGGAGTAATGACTAAGAGATGAAGGCCGATAATGTAAATGTTGTAATTCATTCAACATATAAAGATTACCATGTTCATTTCAGATATATAATGGATGGAGTTAATCATTTTACTGGGCATTACCAGTACTCATCAACATTGGCTAAATTTGTGTAAATTTATTACAGATTATTTTAGTTTTATGTGTCAAAACCTTTACATTAATATACAATTTAAACATTCATATTTTCCCCACACAGGAAATGCCACCCACCTTCCAAAATATATGGATATTTTTGACATAAATCAAGGTAAGCTTTTACTATTTCCATTTTATGAAATATGTATTCTCATTTTATATACAGTATATAAACATACTGTCATTCCGTATACAGTGGACAAAGTCATTTTGCTTGCAATAAGAGGTTAAAGTCATTTAAGTGAACCTGCCAGGATAAAAAAATATGCATCCGAATTCCCAACTTGTTTTCAAATGTAATAGCTCCAGAACTGTCACCTTCACTATGTAGTGAGTCACTGACCTTAAAAAAGGATGCAGCCAACAGGGGTGTGGAATTACTATCGCCCGACGCCCGGGACATGGGACATGCAGTTCCGGGCGCCAGGCGGGTAGGTTTTTTTTACATTTAGCCCTGCTGCGGGCTAGCAGAGCTAAATGTAAAATGGGGGAGCTTATTTAGTACAAGTGATATCAGATCACTTGTATAAAATGAGCAGCGATTTTGTCTGTGACTCCAGCCCCCCCCTCCCTTCACCCCACCCCTGCCATGGTTTTCGGGCTCCCCCACTCTTCTGGGGGATCCCGGCAATCATCTCAGGATGGAGAGCGGGAAGCAGAGCAGGGAGCAGAATGGAGAACATCCGTTCTCCGCTCTGCTCTCTGTGATCAGTGAGAGAGGAGTGCTGTACTCACAGCGCCCCCTACCTCAGCTGTCACAGGCAGCACAGAAACGAGCACAATGAAGTTGCTCGATGTTCTGTGTTAGAGGTGACAGGTTCCATCTGTCACCTTCAAAAATGATCACATAGGGGATTGTTTTCCCCTGTGTGATAGTAATAAAGTTAAGTGAAAAAAAAGTAAAAAAATAATAAAATTAAAATTACCGTATTTTTTGCTCCATAAGATGCATCTGACCATAAGACGCGCTTAACAACTATATTTACGGCCTCCAAAATGCCGCTGCCCGTGTTGTCTGTGTCTAACTTCTGCATACTGAGACTCCTCCCTTTCCCTGTCATGTGGCATGAAACAGGAAGGCGAGAAGCTGGTCAGACACAGAAGTTAGACATCGGCAGCACGGGCAGCGGCATTATGGAAGAGGTAAATAACGCTGCTTCGCTGGCTCTATAAGTAGTACAAGTGGCCCCTACCCTCCCATCGCTCATGCGAGTGATTACCGGTACACTGTCAGCCACTGTGCAGAGGGTCCTGGAATCTGGGGGACAGCTCTCCAGGTTCCATGGGCTCAGTGCCACCCCCAGCATACTGCATATATATATAAAGCAGTTATTACAATTTTAGCAGGAACTCCATGTTTTTTTCCCCTATTTATGGGAGTGGGGTTCCTCCATAAAATTCCTACCAGACCTAAAGGGCATGGTATGACTTTGGGGGTACCCCATGCATTTTATAAAAACTGGGGACCCTTCTAACATTCCTACCAGACCTAAAGGGTCAGGTATGGTTTGAGATGGAGACCCCACACTGTATCATTTTTTTTCTTTTGTTTACATTTTATTATTCTGCTCACTACCTCGGAGGAAGGCAAAAAATGCCAGGGTGTAAGTGGGAAAAAAATGCCACAATGTCAGAGGTCCATGGGAGGAAGAATGCCCTGCTAGTGATGGTCATTGTGAGGAAGAATGCCCTGGTAGTGATGGTCAGTGGAAGAAAGAATGCTCTGGTAGTGAATGGTCATTGTGAGGAAGAATGCCCTGGTAGTGATGGTCAGTGGGAGAAAGAATGTCCTGCTAGTGATGGTCATTGTGAAGAAGAATGCCCTGGTAGTGATGGTTAGTGGGAGAAAGAATGCCCTGGTAGTGATGGTCATTGGGATGAAGAATGTTCTGGTGGTAGTTGTCAAAAGGAAGAAATAAACTCCCTGCTATCAGTGATCAGCAATAGGAAATGCCCCAGAATTGATCATAATTGATGACTGATGTCTGTGTCAGTGTTAGGAAACATATGGGGAAGTCTAAGGTTGGATGGGAACTTTAGAGCTGATATGGGCTGGTGAGTACTACAAGCAGTTTCAAGGCACTGTTGGGGGCTGGAATGGAACCTGCACTGCACTGCTCAGTGCCACCTCCAGCACAATGCATATATATATAAAGCAGATATTACAATTTTCCTGTGTTAGAATTACTGACAGGCTCACTTTAATAATAATCTGTGACCCAAGAAAAGAGCGTTCTATATGAAGCAATAACTAGGTAACACTTAGTAGCATGCAATTTAATCAGTATCCATTAATTCCAGGACTTTACATTTTGCACACCAGAAAATGTGCTGTCCTTTCACATATTTGTCTTCTCCAACCTCTTGTTGTTTTTAAAGAAAATGCACTCTTATTATTTGGGATTTTGTCTTACAGCTGCTGGTTTGGACCTGTTTGAAGGAGACATTAAAACTGATCAGGTGAGTTCTTGATCTTTGTATATGTTTTGCGCATTAGGTATTGTTATTGTGAAGTTTTAAGTAGGTGATTTACCGCAAATTAAGTAAATTACATTCATTTAAGTACAGATAGATATTAGTTTAAATTTAACTGAAAGCAATGTTGCCAACCAATAAGCATGCCCTACAACAGTAAATCATATAAAAGTAAATTAGAGCAGACCTAACAGTAACTTTACAAGTCTCCATATATCACAGACTAGCATTCTGCTTCTCTATACAATGCAGGCAGATCATGGTTGGTGAGAGGGGCCAGCAGGGTGCTGTACATAGCTTTCTGAAAAATGACAACACCTTGTCTCAGTACTTCTCTCAAGAGACTCAGCCCTGATGCAAATGATTGCATTACAATGCCCACATGTGATGCTGAACCTGCATGATTGAAAGAACTGAAATCCAATGAATGAAAGGGGCAGGCCAGGGAGGAAAGAACTAGATCAATGATAATGTTCAGTGTATCATTGTGTAATATAAAATGATACATAATCACATTAATATTTCCAAATTTAAACTGATGAGTTCTGTGTGTCGGCAGCACTGCTTATAACTTTATAAATGAAAAATAAGATGTATGAAGCAGTAGTGAAGACAGTAAGGGGGATTTATGAAAACTGGAGACAGAATCTGGAGCAGTTGCCCATTACAACCAATCAGCTTCTCTCTTTTTAATTGTCAAAGATTAAAGAACAAACTGAAGAGAGAAGCTGATTGGTTACTATGGGCAACTGCTCCATATTCTATGCACCAATTCCCCCCTGTGTGCTCAGAACTGATTGGTGACACTTTATCACTGTTGTGCTTATATTATAGACATATTTTTTATATGGCCCTAAATGTCATATCTTCTTTTAATAGAAAAATGCAAGAAACACAATCATTGGTGATAAATACAGGTGGCCACGGACAGTCCCATACTACCTAGAAGACAGTCTTGGTATGTGTTATAGTATTAATTCTACTTATATTTCAATACCATCTCTTTAAAAATGACTTCACACAGAGAGAAATTTCTTGTTGGTAAATGCCATTGCCACACGGAAAGCCAATTACTAAATGCCGCACTCATTTGGTGTAACACCCTACTGGAAACAGATGGTAGTAAATGCCCTGTAATGCAAAAATGGCATCTACCGGAAGAAAACAAATGTAATTAACAAGCATGTTGGAACTTCTTGCACAGCCTCACAGAAAAACACAAGCACACAGTCTGATATGCATGCTGCACATGGCTCGGAAAAACAGGAAGGAAGCCACAACTTTATTTTCTACCTGATTCAATACAACAGACTATACTATAGATATATAACATAACTTATAAACACTGCCATCTAGTGACCAAAATTGTGTACTACAGAAGTTGTTGCTATAAACACAGTAATGTGTATTCTAACAAAGCACCTCTCCAACTAAGCCTATCCCTAACATCTAAACTCCCACTACCACATAGACGTCCGGTAACTTGCTCCCTAATACATAACCAAGCAGTAAAAATGAACGCATGACCTCCCCCAAGTATTTAAAATATTTATTCTAACTCCCCAAAATGAATGCTTAATACTTAACCCCTAACATTTAACCCAATACCCAACTTTAACCTTTACACAAAGTTAAACCTTTTGATTTTAGCCTTTTTTACAGCAACCCATCAGTAATCATTAGCTTAATACAGTCTAATAAACTATTGCCTCCTAATCAATTTCTAAACAATTACTTTCATCACTATGTAATCCCTACAGTCCTGTGCACCACTACCCTGAACTTCCTGTTGGGAAGAACACAAAGATGGTGTCACTACTATTCCCCTGATTCATTCAGCAGGACCACAAATCCCACCATGCCTTGCCTCAACGTAAAGATACAGTTTATATATTTTTTTCATGATGTAATCTCCAGCTGTCTGTGCATGTGTAGGAGGGAGCATCAGCATGTCACCCTGATCCCAGAAACGTGCACAGAAAAGGTGGCTCCAGAGGACCCTGCAAGGGATAGAAGCCACCCTAGAACTGGAAGGTGAGCCAGCATGCTAAAACAGGGAGAGGAACATTTTTGAAGGTGAAGAGGCAGTGGACACTGCAAGTCTTTATATCAAAAGTACATATTGCTAATGTAGCCTTTAATATCACTTTTACTATAGGTTTCCTTTAACGGTAAAAGTTGTATAACAGGGAGGATGCCATTACTGTACCGATATAGACACAACATTACATATGTTTGTATGCTTTGATATGACATTTAGCAGTGACGCAGCTTATGAAACATAACCTCCTGTGTGTATTTTTTCCATGGTAGAAATTAATGCCAAGGGTGTCATACTGAAAGCATTTGAGCGCTACAGGCTGAAGACATGCATTGATTTTAAGCCATGGGCTGGAGAAAAGAACTATATTTCTGTATTTAAAGATAATGGGTATGTAATAAACACAGAAACACATTCTTTGATCTGTAATAGGCTTCGTAACTAGTGCTGCATATTTCATATGTTTACAGGCTATCTGAGCTCCTTTGTAGAAAAAGGCTGCTCTTTACACAGCTCAGTAGCTCAAACATGCAATTTACCTACACAAGTGCCTGACATACCACAGTGACTATTTTCTTATCATAGGGCACTTACCTAGAATTCAGTCAGATAAAGTGAGCCTTAGAGCAGGCTGCTACTGTTGTGCTGTCTCTTTAGCTAACCCACTGTGCTCGGGTAATCCTGTATCATGTATTAAATGTTTGTTTGTAAAACAAAGATTGTATCCATATAGTAAAAAAAGAGATATTAGAAAGCAGTTTAAAAGCCTCTAGGGGTAAAAATAAGAATGATTAATATTACATTGACCCAAACCCATCATAGTTTTTCCCTTAAAGCCAGAATTTGATTAAAGGGAACGGTAAATATGTGGTGGAATTACTATTTTTGCTTATAAAAAGAAAAAAATGCATGGGAATGATACATTACAGGTGAAACTCGGAAAATTAGAATATCGTGCAAAAGTTCATTTATTTCACTAATGCAACTTAGCCGTCTACCAGGAGATTTTGGAGCACGTCATGCTTTCTTCCGCAGATGAGCTCTACGGGGATGCTGACTTCATTTTCCAGCAGGACTTGGCACCTGCCCACACTGCCAAAAATTTTCTGAGATTGTGGATCTGGGTTTTCATGAGCTGTAAGCTATAATCATCACAATGATGACAAATCACGGCTTGAATTATCTTGCTTTGCATGTAATGAGTCTATCTCATATATTAGTTTCACCTTTTAAGTTGCATTAGTGAAATAAATTAACTTTTGCACGATATTCTAATTATTCGAGTTTCACCTGTATATTGATTCCTAAATACCTAAAAGATTTAGTATGAAATGCTTTGCTTGTCAATTGTCAGTAAATCAGGCCAATTGTGTTAATATTATTATTTATTTTAGATGCTATTCATATGTTGGAAACCAAGAGTGGGGAAAACAACCGCTTTCTATTGGATCAGGATGTGATATTGTTGAAACAGTTCAACATGAGTTCCTCCATGCTTTGGGATTTCATCATGAGCAATCACGATCTGACCGCGATGACTATGTGACCATTGTGTGGAACAAAATCCAGCCTGGTAAACTGATATCATATCCAATAAAGATAGAAACAATATATTGTAGAGACAGCAGCCTTTCTTTTGCCATCTCTAAATATATCTAATGTTCATACCACAGGCCAGGTCTCATAGTGCCCACAGCCAGCTTAATTGTGCTTACATCATCAGTAAAGCTGTAGTACAGAAGCAGGACTGAGTATTTCTAGCCACACAGACTTTTATATGGGAGCACCTAAAAAAAACACATAAACAAGAGTTTTTTAGGTGCTTCAATTAGAGTCTAGGGGCCAAATATGCTTGATTCTGCCTGAGAAGAAGCTCACGCAGGCCCCACTTCCACCTACGCATTTCAAAGCTCAATTTCCTAAGCACAACAACGCTCAACAAGAGGAATCTCATTGCTTTAAATTCCCCTGTTCACATCCAAGCATTGTGTCGCTTGTAGTAATATGACTGTAGCCCAGAAAAGTTGACTTGGGAGCACTTGAAGAATGCTTGAAAAGCATGTGCTTGCTAGACATGTGCATTCGGATTCAGACGAACCTGCAAATCAACAAAAATCGGTTGAGTCGGCGGTTCGTCCGAATCTGAAATAATGAATTTATTATATGCCAGAATATTCTAAAACTATATTCGAGCATATATAATACATATTGGGTGCCGGCATGTCTTGCGCATGTATGTCACCATCTTGGAGGGGGAGAGCATGACGTCACATGATGGTGACGTCACCTGCTGAATGAGCGCCGGCGCGTTCTGCGCATGCGCACCGCCATTTTGAAGTACATCTTGGTATACACCAAGATGGTAGCACTCGAATATGCAGGCGCCGCCATCTTGGTGTACACCAAGATATACTCCAAAATGGCGGCGCACTTGTTTTGTGGTTTTTAGTGGGCGGTTTCTGATTCAAGGGCTCCTTGCCTCCAAATCTGAAAAACAACATAAAAATTTGTTTCCTTTGTTTAGTGCTTACATTTTTTGGCGCTCCCATTTAAAAATTGAGCCAAAAATGCTCAATTCTGCTCCTGTGCTTCCAGTAGTGCATAAAAATGCTATAAAAAAACGCACATACGAATGTGCAAAATAAAAGCCTTTAAGTCGCCTAGCAACACTCACACTTAGATGTAAAGACATCCTTCATTTTTGGAGCGCCCAGCGCTTATGACACCATGAAAGATAATACAATTTTAATGTTGAGTGTTTTCCACCATGCAATAATGTTAGACAGTTTGTCCACATCAATATAAGATAACACACTATAATAAAGGCTCGCCTGTCTAGTGCTAACAGCCCATAAAGTGAATTTTGCATGTAGATAAGCTGCTGTTGCAAAGATTCTCTCCATAGAGCCAAGTGCTCAGGCTCTCTCATGGCCCATTCACACCATGTCCAGATCAGATGCGCTACGTGATATTTTTCTTCCGCACCAAAAATGCATCCCAATACATTTGTATGTGATTTTTGGGCTTTGTTCTCACCAGTCCAGTCTGTTCCAGTGCAGGAAAAAAAATGCTGCATGCCACATTTTTCCTGCACTGAAACGAGTCACAAACGCATCACAAATGCACTGCACCACACCGGAACGCAACAGAAGCTATGACATGGAGCAGGAAGAGATTAATTTGCATAATGACATTACCCCCCCAAAACACAAAAAAATGCACTTTAACGCGTCACAGACGCATCACAAACACACCGCACCACGTTTGCAGAAACGCGTGCAAATCTGGTCTGGACATGGTGTGACAGGGCCCTCTAGGTGACAGGTTGAAATGCCCCTGTGAGGGTAGCTGCTTTCTCTATGAAAACCAACCACTGCAGCATCATAACTGGTCTTTGTTACCTAAATATGTGCTACAGACATAATAGCCACTCCCCATTTCTCAGTAAAATAAATGTATCCTATTGTCTTTCCCTATACTTGATGCTTTGCTGACAATATATGGTCTGTGCACAGCTATAACATCAATTGAGTTTGTCTATATGAATATAAAGCCAGATAGTATGTTGAATTTGTCTTCATCCATACACGTGTGCACATGAGTTGACTATATGAGTTGCAGAACACTATTAATGATTACCACATAGTCTTAAAGTTAGCAGCATTTCTTTAAAAAAATTGCCATTGCTGACCTCCTGCTAAATATGCTAGATGCCTGGCTTTATGCTGACCCCATGTCTTCAATATTTTGGGGGGTTAGTCTTCTAAAGGCACTGCTTCTGCCTGTTCTTTGGTGCCATGATTTGGTTTCTCCGGTGATTCACTTCAGGATACTTATAAAATCAAAACAAAAAAATATAGATTAAAACATAAAGCTTAAATCCTAAATATGTTGTAAAGTTAATATTTTTACCAAGACAAACTTTGAGGAAGCTAGCAGATGAGAGCATTTACACTGAAAAGCCACTATTATGTATAAAAAAATAAAACTCAGATACAGATAGAGGGGGATTTATCAAAACTGGAGCAGACAAAATCTGGAGCAGTTGCCCATAGCAAAAAAATCAGCTTCTCTCTTTCATTTTTAAATCTTAACTGAACAAACTGAAGAGAGAAGCTGATTGGTCGCCATGCACAACTGCTCCAGAGTTTGCTCCAGTTTTTATAAATTTCCCCCATAATGTATATAAATTTCTTACATATTTTTTTATCTGTAACTGTGCCTTATCCGTCAAACTTAATGCCACTGCTCATTTTGATATATTCATATGATCATTCATTTCAGATATATTAATTCCAGATTTAAATATAAACAAAATATTTTCTGTTTTGTTTAACCGTGTTTACAATGTAATTTTATGTGTTTAAATTTTTTGTACAATTTTAGGGTTTTTTTGTGTTTTATTTTTAGGCAAAGAACATAATTTCCAAGCCTATGATGATAGAACCGTAAGCTCTCTAAATGTTCCTTATGATTACACCTCTGTAATGCATTACAGCAAGAACGCATTCCAGATTGACAATGCGCCAACAGTTATACCTAAGAATCCTCAGTACAATAATATAATCGGCAACCAAATGGATTTTGGTGAAAGTGATGTGTTGAAGTTAAACAGACTGTATAACTGCTGTAAGTTCTTACTTAGAGTCGATAAAATATATAATAAACCTGTCAGCAAATTTAAACATTTGAAAGTAAAAATGATGCCCAAGCTAGTAGACTGACTTTTCTGACTTCAGGGCTGAGCTCCACCACTCCTTTGTCCAATGAGAGTACCTTGGTGGTCCACTGGTGCACGCTGAATAGACAGGGGGATGGAAGTTGTTGGAGCTCAACTCTGAACTTAGGAAAGTTAGGCTCCTAGTGACAAGGTTAAACTAGTTTCACAGAGGCACAGAGAAGAGGCTCTTGTGGTTTGCACATATATTAATAGGCATCTTGTGGTGTTGGCTGTTAGGTAGGGCCTTTAATTTTAAATGGCTTACAGGTTTACTATAAAGCATAGCTAAACCTAGGAACAAAAAAGTATTCTATTTTAGCTCACAGGTCCTTAGATATAGTATGGTGAGGTACATTTATTTTAGTTTTTCAGGCTAAGAACATCTTAGCAAGTACAGAAAGTTCCTGTTCACCCTAAAAATATAGAAATACAGTGTCCTTGTCGCTTCCTGTAAACTGAATATAGAAATATTATCTTTCATCTCTCCCCCACCCTCCATGTAATCAAGATTAACAAAGGCAGACATATTTCTAGTCAAGTCTGGGTGGCACCCTACACCCTACAGTGAATGAGTGCATGTAGCCACCTAGAGGAAGAAAGTGTTAATTACAAGACAATTACAAGAATTACCAGCCAAAAATAAAGGAAAAAGAGCCAGAAAAGAAGACATCTAAAGCAGCCACCACAACTAACAATGTTTTTGGGTTGAAATAGGCTTTAAAGTGATATTAAACCCTATTATTATATACATTTCATTAGAGGAGATGCTTATGTTCCCTTTTATAAAGTTTCCCTTTACTCTATGTTTGGTTGATTCCAAGTGCTGCCCCCGTTTTCCTGGTTGCGGGTGTCTCCTTTCCCTAGAAGGGTCCTTTGGAGCCCCTGCAGAGTCAAAAGTGTGCACACAATCCCTGGTATTTTGTTTGTAGATGTCTATGTCACTTGCTCAATGATGTGAATGTGTGTGAAAGTGGGGAAAAGATGCTAGTCTGACCTTATAGTTCAAAGGACAAGGTCAAATCAATGCTTTTTATGGTGACATTTTTGTTAATTGAAAATCGCAGTGTGAATATACCTGACTGAGTTGATCATCCCTGCACCTTCTTAATTTAAAAGTTATTTGCAATGCTCCAATTCTGCTAGACCTGCTGAGTGGAAAAAGATCCTCTCACCTGAAACCCTAGGACCAAGGCAAAGAATAATAGAAAATATATAATCTGTCATTTTTTTAAACTGAACTTTTCCCTGGGCCCTGCTGGTCCATTCTGGAATACTTTGGGCTATAGTATCACTTTATTTTATTGTGTCTAGTGCCGGTATTGGCTCATGACAACACCTTGGACAGTTGTCCTATTGTAGTTGAATGTCAGTAGTAAGATACTAAGTAAGATTTCCAGGCCTTTAAGTAAGAACAAATGTATGATGGGCACACACATCAATTTGTTACATTAGATCAAACACCTCACTCATATCCAGTTGTTCCATTGTGTCGGTCCATAAGCCCTACTCCATAAAAGCCATGGTTGAAAGGTCAACTAGCCTGAAATAGCTGCATGCAGTTTGAAATAAATGTTTCTCTAATATGCGGGTTGTATCTCTACTATGTGCAGTTGCCCACAGCAACATAAAATAATAATTTACATGACTCTTTCCCACTATCCGAAATTGCTTATTAAACCCCTTTGTTTTTTAGATCTGTGATGGAAGTGAAAACTGCAAATACCTTGAACGAAATTTATCCAAACTGGAGCAGACAAAAACTGGAGCAGCTGTGCATGGCAACCAATCAGCTTCTCTCTTTCATTTTCAAATCTCAACTGTACAAACTGAAGGGAGAAGCTGATTGGTTGCCATGGGCAACTGCTCCAGATTTTGTCTGCTCCAGTTTTGATAATTTCCCCTCCTTCTGTTTAAGAAGACTCTACTGTGTTTCTGACTAATTAATGAGCACACCACATCATAACATCGTTTGTTCCATATGATTAGTTCCGAATTATTGACTGAATATGGAATATGTTATTTAATTTGCCAAATTTGCTGTTTTGCTTAGTTGAGTCCAAAGTGTGATCAGATTAAAAATGTATTTTAATCAAAAAAAAAGGTAAAGGTGCTAATTTCAAAAGAAAATCAGATAAACATTTTATGCTACAACCAAACAGAATACTATCCAATCTTTTAATCTTTTCTTTGTAGTTAAATGGATTTTGGTTCCCTCCACTGGCTAACAAGCTACATTACATCTAAAACAATGTAATCATTTAAAATCTAAAAAGTGTATGTACACACTAACAATCACCCTCTCTTAGTCACTCCCTTATAGCCCGAAAAATATATTATTGAAAGCATTTTGTTTTATCTGTTTTATAAATACACAAATCCCTGTTGATCTTGTAAGAAATTCAGAGCTGTCCAGTGCACTCATTTGGTGCCTGTGCTTTGGAGATGTAGACAGTGGGAGTCATTGAGTAATTTAGCTAAAGAACACTGGGGAGTACTGACACCACTAAAAAATGCTGTGTTGTCAGCCAACACCAGGGGATTAAGGGGCAGCCGAGTGTATAACCGAGCCGAAGTGAAGTGAGCCGAACGCTGTTCGGCTATTCACTTCAGCCTTGTATGGCTGGAATCAGCCGTACATCGGCTGCCTTCAGCCAGCCGAACATGCTCTGCAGAAGGAGTTCGTCTCAGCGGATCCAACATCTGGATCAGCTGAGCCGAAGCTCCAACAGCTCACTCGCTGCCATTCGTTCCTATTCTCACAGCGGGCGACTGGCAGTGAGTGAATAGTCGAATGCCACCGACCGGCATACGGCTCAGCTATTCTGCTCGCTGCCTCTGAGGTAGTGAGCAGAATAGAAACAAAATTAAATTATTAGAAAAAAAAAATTTCAAAATCATTTAAAATTTTTTACAAAAAATAGGAAAATAAAAAAAATATATATATTTTAAAGAAAATAAAAAATAAAAGTTCCATGAAGTGCTGAGGCCACAGAGTGTTAACTTGGCTTACTGAAGAAAGTGAAGCTGCGTTCGCTTTGAATACCCAGTCATGTGCATGGGAAATTAAAAATGCAGGATTTTTGCCTGCACATAATTGGATGTTTCAAACTATTTACTAAGGTAAATAAACACCAACTTAGCAAAGTGAACACTTTCTATTCCTTTAGTAATTCAACCACAAAGACACCCACTTCCATGCAACTCTACATTCACCATGTACAGTGTGTAGAAATCAAAGTGTTGGTTGTGGAGATTCTCCAGATGGAAGGTATTTTTGTAAGCAATCAATAAGCATGAGCTCAGGTTTGGACCGAGCCCAGTCTTAAGGTGCCCATACGCCTTAAGGTCCCCACACACCTTACGATAATCGCGGGAAATCCCGCGATCGTACGATTATGGTAAGGTGTGTGGAAGCCGTGCGACCTGTACTACTGTACGGTCGCACGACTTTAAACTTACGGACATGTTCGAAAACCCGCCGAGCATCGTACGATGTTCGGCGGGTTTGTGGCATGTCCGTACGATAACAGCCGTACGGGCCGGTGTGCGCAAGCGCACACTGCCCATTCGGCATTGCGGTCATCGGAAGCCCGCCCCTCAGGGGGCGTGGCTTGCGATCATCGCAAGTACGATCTGCCTATGCAAGATAGGCAGATCGTACGTTTTTTTAAGTACCTTACAACCATTGCAAGACAAAAGTCTTGCGATGGTTGTAAGGTGTGTGCCCAGCCTTACAATTATCTGCAGATTTTCTGTGGTCAGATGGAAAAAGTGCAACAGATTGGCCCAGGTTGAGATTACTCCATCCACACAGTTAAGTGTAGATGGAGGAATCTGTTGCACCTTTTCTATCTGACCACAGAAAATCTGCAGATAATTGTAAGGCGTATGGCAAGTCTTAACCTGAGCTCCCCCAAACCCAGTAGTGCCAATTTATATGGCCACATGGCCAATGTCAATGTCATTGACCAAATATATCCAGATGACCATATAGGGTCAATGACACCACCTTTGCTTACGTGCGTGTGCAGGAGGAGAAAATCCCCAGCTGCAGCTGAATAGGTGGCAGCGAAATGAGCTTCCTTCCACCATAGGAGGAGCTCAGGTTAAGACCAGGTTTGTTCTGTACCTAACCTCATCCCTACCAATCAACTTTAGTTTGATTTAGATTTGTTGTTTGGTTTCCAATACGTGGTCTGATTATTATTACAAATGTATATAGTGTTATGTATGGCAGTCCAGGAAAACACCACACCATTACATTTTTTATTAAATGCTATCAAACTGTATATGTGAAGTCACACCTGTCTCTGATTTGTTTTTTCCTTTCTTGTTTGTGCCATTTATAAATAAATGGATGATAATGAATTTTGATGATCTTCAATCAACTTGTCTAATTTATGACATCATTACTTTTGTATTGTACAGCATCCTCTCTTACCTTCCTGGATTCATGCAGCTTTGAACGTGATGACATTTGTGGTATGCTGCAGAGTTCAAGTAATACTTCTGATTGGCAGCGTGTTACTAAAGTTCCAAGTGGTCCAGGTTCTGATCATACATTCCTAGGAAAAGGTAATTCTCTGTGACCGGGTCAATTTAAGAAAGAAACTTTACCCAGAATTTAAATATATTTCCAGCAGTTTACATATGTTCAGACTTTTACTAAATCAGGTGACTGGACGGCACCGTGGGTTTTTGCACTAACTGAATACATCTCTTTTGTGTCACTGTATTATATAAACCAGAGCTCATGTTTAACTTGTTTTTCCTCAGATAAACTATCAGACACTGGAAACTTCATGCACTTCAGCACTAGCACTGGTAACAATGGGAGTCATGCTAGACTTGAAAGCAGATTGTTCTACCCAAAGAGGGGATACCAGTGTCTGGAATTCTTCTACTATCACAGTGGTAGTGAAAGTGACCAGCTCCAATTTTGGATTAAAGAATACACAACTTTGTACCCCAATGGCATTCTGAAATTTGTAGACTCTGTATCTGGTAAGGAAGAAATTAAATGGGCACTTGTAATGTTCATATATATACAGGACATAACTATTGTTTACACACCTTTTTTTTTTTTTTTAGTAATCGACGTGTACCAGATCATCAATGTAGTTCACATATGTTGAAGATGATTTGCAATATGTGTGCCAAATGCCCAAATATTGCAAACTCTGATGTATCACAGGAATGTGTCAGTTTCTGTGCCCTATAAACTAATCTCTGCACTAGAATGTAGTGCAGACATTAGCCGCAGATCTGTGCCTTGTCTGACCAGGTACAGATCTGCACATTGAGCTGACTCCCTCTGATAAATGTGTGTACAGACACTGACAAGAGGAAGACTAAGCTGGGAGAAGCTGCCACTTCCCTCTGCATAGCAGAGCAGAGGGGAGGAGGAAAGAGCAATTAACAGGTTCCGTCTGATGAGTGCCAGATGGACTAGAATGAGTGGACAGCTCTCTGCAGCTTTGCTGCCTGGACTTCTTACTTCCTGAAAAGGGGAAGAGAGGAGAAGAAGCGATACAGTAAACTGCTATAGCTTGCTGTAGGGCTCCCTGCACAGTGACAATGCATTGGCTGTCACCGTGCAATATGTGCCTAATAAATAGAGGTCCCTTAATGAAAATCTTCCCTCATCCATTATGCAGACAGAATCTTTCTACAATGATATTATGCAGCCTCAGAGCCTTGGACAATGTTGTCCTGCTTGTCCATTTAGTCCCAGGCATTAAAATGTCTGAATTTCCAGAAGACTTGGTAGACAAGTGAGCAATATGATCAAATTAAAAATACTGATTGACACATTGAGAGGAATTTATCAAAACTAGAGCAAACAGAATCTAGAGCAGTTACCCATGGCAACCAATTAGCATCTCTTCAGTTTGCCCAGGTAAGATTTGAAAACGAGAGAGAGAGAAGCTGATTGGCTGCAGTGCAAATCTTGTCCAGATTGTGTCTGCTCCAGTTCTGATAAATTCCCCCCCATTGTATTTTTAATGTACCCAGCCCACCATATGTACATTATATTAACTGCAAAATGTTGACTGTTTTACAGGCAAACCCGCTGATTACTGGAAGCCTCATTTTTCTTCAATAAATACAACAAACAAGTTTAGATTTGTGTTCCAAGGAGTAAAAGGAGGTGGAAATTCTGCTGGGGGCATCTCTATTGATGACATCAACTTGTCTGAAACTCGGTGTCCTCAAAATGTTTGGCACATCAGAAACTTCAGTCATAATTTCACTAAGGATTTTGTAATGAGCCCTCCATACTACTCTAATGATGGCTATGCTTATCAGATTGGGCTATGGTCGTATGCTACTCGATATTCACCATATAACCTTGCTGCATACCTATATCTGATAACTGGAGAGAATGATCGGACCCTCCAATGGCCCTGTCCTTGGAGGCAAGCTACAGTAGAGTTCATGGACCAAAACCCTAACATTCAGCAGAGAACATCGAACATGAAGAGTATTACAACAGACCCAAATGAATTATCAGGTTAGAATCCTACAGATGAATCACCTTTGTGCATTGTGGTATTGCACATTATACTGCAATACACTACTTAGAGCACACCACAATGCACCTCCATTATATGTGAACACACTAACAAAATCTCCTGTCTAATGGCACTTCAGAGAAGTGACACTAGGAGCTTTTTTACACCAGACACAAGCACTGCAATGTATTTAATTGGAGTGAACTAAATATTTTCTGTTGTCCATGCATTATGCTGCATTGAAAGAAGTAACAAAATGCCATACGCTGTTTTCAGTAAGCCTTGCTTACTCTAATGAGTGGCCTAGTGTCTGTATGTTGTGTTTGAGGTGTGTTAATCTGCATTTTGCTATTTAAGTTATTTGATGGAAATCCTAAATGCTACCTGCATCCTTATATTTCAATGATATGACATTATATGTGAATGAACGCCAACGCTTGTTAATTCATAAGGTACCTTAATAATATGGGAAAAAAGGGATTGGTGTTCCTACCTGGAGATCCGACTAATTGTACGCCCTAATTCAGGTTTGCATATTGGCTTATTTAGACCGATCCGTGATCTTTAAAATCGTGAGTTTTAATAACTGCAATTCTAGCAAGGTCGTATATGCAATCGAATGTCCATGTCATAAACTCTATGTAGGCAAAACTAAGAGACAACTAAAAATACGAATAGGTGATGTCAATTCTTTATTGTATGTTGTTTCTATGAATTTTTCTAATAAATTTAAACTTTTTTGCATATTAGCTGCTTGTCCGGATCCCTCAGTTGACCGCTACTGACTTGTTACCTTTTAACGAGTTAACCCCCTTCGTTTCCTTGTACCTTAATAATATGGGCCCAGACTGAGCCAACTCTACTTTTCACAGTTACTCAAGCTTTCCCAGATCCATTGTGTTATTGTGTTTGATGGACAGAAATTAGTATTAAAATAAATTGGCTTTTATAAAGAACGCTTATATTTTATGACCATGGCTGTAATAGTAGATGCAGATGACATTTGTAACTGCAAGCTCCCTATCCCAGCAAAAACCAAGCCATGAGGATTGTGTTGCTACATTGAGGGCAATTTCACATCAGTCAGCACGTATGTTCACAACTGTCGTTTTAGGACAGCCCACTAATTTGACTACATCTGTTATATGTACCATTAAAAGAGTTTTGCTAAAATGGTAAATCAGTAGCATTTTATGACTGGATCATTTGTTGCTTATGTTTACTGGATGTAAACATAAGCCTTGATAAATGCCCCCAGTGTACTTTTGTAGAGTATTTAGTATTATATTGTAAAATGAAACCAGAAAGAACCTCTGCTCTTGTAACAAACAATACACAAATTTAGCCAAAGCTGTAAAGTTACAAGGTCATATGAAACTCCAAAAATCCTTTTATTCCATCCAGCAGTTATATTAAAATATTTGGTTCCAAAATGTCAGGTTATAAATTAGAGAAACTGAACAGTGCTCAGCGTGTGTTTTACAACTGTAACAACTGCTGTTGTCATAAAATCCACAAAATAAGAAATTCTCAAAACTATTCTGCATATCTCCTCCACCCCTGCACAGTGGGGTTCTGATATCCACCTCAATTTAATGAAAAATTACTTTAGCTGTGTATCTGGCGATATGTATAAATTCCCTTGAAATACCTCTCCAGTTGAATCACTCGCTGATGCTTTGCTCAGTCCAAAGGTATGGAACAGTAACCCCTTTGTGAAGGGAAGTACATTTTATCTTCAGTACATATATAGACTTCAAGAATTCTGCTTTAAAGTAGTATTAAACTCTCAAACTTTTTTTCAATAATAAATCCAGATCAAAACCAAATATGCATTGTGCAGCAAAGTATTTCTTTACATTTTTGCCCAAGCACTTACAGTCATCATGTTTCTGAATAGCTCCAACTCTCTCAGCTTCCCAGAATTCCCTGTTGAGTACAAGATTACAAGGGACAGCACAGAAGTCTCCAACAGCTGTTCATCTACTAGCATGGAGAAGAGAGGAGGGAAGAGGGTTGAGCAGTGAGCAGGGAAGTTGCTTGCCTTGTTGTGCCTGTTTGTGGAGACTCACACTGCTTACTAGCACACACAAGGGTGGCTCCAAAGGACCCTGAAAGGGAAAGGACCCACCCTAAAATGGAATCTCAGGACCAGTGCACAAGGGAACAGCTGATTCCACAGGCAGGTCAAGGTGCAGAATCCATTGTAAGTGATTTCATCTGCATGTGAGATAACGTAAAAACCTTTTAAAGGAGAACTATGGGGTTACGTTTTTTTCCCCATAGTTCTCCTTAGGGTAACAGGAGGACACAAACTAGTGTCTTCCCGTCACCCTAGGCTCAGTATACCACGAGCTGTAGCTCGTGGTATACTGAGACACCGCAGTATACCGTGAGCTGCTGCTCGCAGTATACTAAGACGCCGCAGCTGAAGCGGATCCCGACAATTATGTCTGGATCCGCCCAGCTGCGTGACTGACAGCTGGCTCTGCCTATCTAGAGGCAGAGCCAGCTGTACCAGCCCCCTCCCCCGTCTGTTCCGCCAGTCAGCGCTGGCGGATCGGAGCGGGGAGGGGGGAATCCAGCCCCCCCACTGTCATGGCAGAAAGCCGTGACAGGATCAAGAGGTGAGCGAACGCCGGTATGTGTTCGCTCACCTCCCGATCTACTGAGCCGACCTGTGACAGTTTCATTGACACAGGTCAGCTAGAACTATGAGGTGAGTGAAAAGCACTCACCTCATAGTTCTCCTTTAAGTTTAATATCAGCTTAAGAGAGTTTTCCAACAGTGTGATAGCATAATTGAAATTGACGTGATTTAATCAACATTTATAATAGCTTGCCAACCTTTTGACTTTAATATAAATAGCACTTCAACAGCTGTTGAGGTAAGATATTAGCTGCAGAGGAAGTGCATTGTTTCTTGGACTCCTAGTCTTGCATTGTGAGGAAGAACAGAGAGCACAACTATTAAAGGGTTATTGAACCCTCAGCGTTTTTTGCATGTATCTACGGCTAGCAAGCAATAGATATATGCAAAAAAATGTTTTTAAAACTTTTCAAACAGGTTTAAACTTACTTGTGTCTTCACCGCACGGTTCCGTCCGAACATCTGAAGAGTCTTGGGCGGCCGCATAGGATCTTGGGGCGGGCAGATGCGCAGTTCAGATCTACGGCCGGGATACAAGGAGAGACAAAAGGTAAGTCTATGGAGCGGCGTGCACCCGCATGCAGACACCGTGGGACAGGAAGTGCCAGCTAGCACAGAGGAGTCAGCGCTGGACCAGAGACCCGCACCATCGCTGGAGGAATTGCTAAACACTGCTGGAAAGAAGAAGATGAACAGCTCAAGAGGCATCATTTAAGGTAAGTCCTTACTCTAACATTGGGTGGAAAATGTATCCTGTAATGTCACTTTAATTAGTACCGCAAAGCAGGAAGTAGAACTTTCAAATGTAATGAGCATATAGGGCTGACCCTGTGTTATAAATATACATAAAATATAAAAAAAATTTAAACAATTCTGACATATTGGCAAGATTACTTATATAGTTCTGGTGTCTCTTACATGCATATCTAGAAAAATAATCCCCACATAACAATACCTCAAAATGGTAAAGAGTAGGAAGATTACAGATGTTAACAAATAACTGTGTCTGCTTTCAGATTCCAACAAATTGTTATGGGATAACCCTGCATTGGTAGGAGGTCTCTCATCATTCCCAAATGGAACCAATTACAGACGGACTGGAGGGTATGGGCAGTTCATGTTTACAGCTGAAGAATGGCTTTACAGAAGAGACTTCCTAAAAGGAGGAGATGCTTTTATTCTCATATCCATGGAAGGTATGTCACAAATTATCACTTTGTAATTAGTACAGATGTTTAGAAAATTGAAATCGATAAAGCCTTGAGCTGATGTGGTTCCAAGTGACATTCCCTATCTGGGATTGGCCTTTCTATCTGGCAATCTTGACATTATAGTGGAGGAATGGATTTTGAGTTGATGTTGCTATAAGTGTAAACTAACACTGAACTAACAATGAAAGGCCCAGAACGCCTTTCCACAAATTGTTGGTGTATGTCTAGGTCTATGTTCAGCTTCCTCACCCTGTGTCAGGAAGCAGGGGGTGTTGTCCCTGCTCGGGGGCCACGGGCACGGCAGAACTCCCCTCAGCTTGGCAGAACTCCTGGTGCCCGGGTTGCGGCTACGCATGCTCGAGTCGCACAGCGGGTGCGCATGCGCGGTACGCAGGCTGCGCGCGCATCCCCGGGGGCACGTGTGTAGCACTCCTGCTCCATTAGGCATCAGGTGTGAGCCTTGCTGGGGGAGGTTCCCTGTACACACCTTCCATCTCTCTCGCCTGCCATTGGTTCCCGAGGAAGGAAGCCTCCTGGTTGCCTCGGTGACCGGGGGGGTGGTCCTAACTCCCCTGGCTATAAAAACCTGGCCTGAGCTCTGGCTTATTGCTGAGTTATTCCACCTCATGGTGTGACATACGAAGCTCCCTTCCTATGTGCCTTGTTGCCTGTTTCCTGAACCCTCTGGGGACCTCCTGTGTACCGACCTTGGACCGCCTATCGTTTCTGACCCTCTGCTGCCTGCCTCGACCTCGGATTACCCTCGACTACCTCTTTGGATTGCCCCCTGGTTACCTTGCCTTCGGACCCTTCCGGCTGCTTCCTGCCAGCGGGTTCCCTCTGTGCTGCTCGCCCGCGGACGCACCTGATACCCTGTAAATGTATTTCAAGTAACATGCAATACACTGTGTTTGATTATATCGTGTTTGTCCTTTAGTTACATAGTTACATAGTATTTGAGGTTGAATAAAGACATAAGTCCATCAAGTCCAACCTATTGTGTGTGTGCATTTATGTTTAAGAAGGTGTGTGCGTGTGTATTAGTACATGTGTGATTTTGCTCTTAGGCGTACCTGTACCCCTGTATATTATGGTCTACGAGGAACGCGTCCAAGAGTTTCTTGAATGATTCCACACTCTTAGCTGAGATCACTTCCTGCGGCAGTGAGTTCCAGACCTTAAACGCTCTAACTGTGAAGAACCCCTTGCGCCCTGTACGATGAAAAAAAATCTCCACCAATTTTTGGTTGTGCCCTCTGGTCTTTGTTACTGAGCTGACCGTAAACAGTTTGTTAATAATGTTGCTGTCGCCCTTGAATAGTTTATTCAGGAAAATCATGTCCCTACCTTAATCTCCTAACCTCCAAAGAGAACATATTTAATTTTAACAACCTTGTTTCATAGTTCAGGTCCTCGAAACCCTTAATAAGCTTGGTTGCCCTCCTCTGGACTTTTTCCAGCTCAAGGACATCCTTCCTGAGTATCGGTGACCAAAACTGGACCGCATACTCCAGATGTGGCCGAACCAGTGATCTGTAAAGTGGCAAAATTATAGACTTGTCCCTGCAATACATTCCTTTCTTAATGCAAGACAGGACTCTGCTTGCTTTGTTTACAGCAGTCTGCCACTGCGAGCTGTTCTTCAATCTGCGGTCTATAATGACCCCCAAATCCTTCTCCGTTTCCGACTTCCCTAGTGGCACACCCTTAAGTGTATAGTCCATTTGCCTATTTTTAACTCTAAGGGGCATTACCTTACATTTATCGACATTTAATTTCATCTGCCATACACTGCCCACTCCCCGAGTTTATCCAGGGCCTCCTGTAATGTTATAATGTCTAAATCCGTGTCTATTACCCTTCCAATTTTCGTATCATCAGCAAACACTGAGACATAGCTACTCACTCCCTCCCCGATATCATTAATAAATAGATTAAAAAGCATGGGACACCCGCACAGAACCCTGGGGTACGCCACTCATGACCTCCGCCCAGTCTGAAAAGGTGCCATTAACTGATACTCTTTGTGCATGTTCTCGTAGCCAGTTTTCTATCCAAGTGCACACTAATTCATCTATGCCCATAGCCCTTAACTCGTATAACAAGCGTTTATGTGGCACCGTATCAAATGCTTTGGAAAAGTCCAGATATACTACGTCCACCGGCCTCCCTCCATCCAGATCTCTACTCACCTCTTCGTAAAAGGTCAGCAGGTTGGTCTGGCAAGAACGATCCTTCCTAAATCCGTGTTGTACATCACTTATTATACTATGATCCCGGACGAATTCCACTAAGCGGTCCTTAATCCTTCCCTCTAACAGTTTACATACTATGCATGTTAGACTAACTGGTCTATAGTTCCCCGGTTGGCATTTTGACCCTTTTTTTAATATAGGTACCACATTAGCTCTTCGCCAGTCGCTTGGCACTCTACCAGCCATTATGGATTCCTTAAAAATAAGGAAAATGGTCTTGTTATCTCCTTGTTCATTTCCTTGAGTACTTTGGGATGTAGATTATCAGGTCCTAATGCTTTATTTGCATTTAGTAGTTTAAGCCTATGTTGTATCCCAGTTTCAGTCAACCACTCCAGTATATTTCTTGTTAAATTTTGTGTTTTATCCTGTACATTAAACCCGTATTTTTCCTTGGTGAATACAGACGAGAAGAAAGTATTTAGCGCCTCGGCCCTCTCCCTGTCGTTTGTGATTAACGTCCCATTTATGTCCTTTATTGGGCCTATCTGTTCCTTTCTCCCCTATTTACTGTTTATGTACTGATAAAAAATTTTGGGGTTCTTTTTCCTAACTTCGGCGATATATTTCTCACAATCAATTTTAGCTGCCCGGACTACCAGTTTACATCTTTTGTTACATTCTTTGTAGTTTTGGAATGCCAATACTGTCCCCTCTGTTTTATACTTACTAAATGCTACTTTTTTCCCTTAATGTGTTGTTTTACCGTTGTATTTAGCCATATTGGTTTTGTTTTTGATCTTCTACTTTTGTTACCCAGCGGTATACACCTGGTAATAGCATTTTTTAATTTGTTCTTGAAACAGTCCCACTTTTGGTCAAAGTTTAGTTTATCAAATAAGTTTTCCCATTTGATTTCACCTACTATGTTGCATAGTTTATCAAAGTTAGCCTTCCTGAAGTTTAGGCTTCTCGTACGCCCATCCCCCTTCCCTTTCTTGCACCCAATATTAAAAGCAATCACCTTGTGATCACTGTTACCCAATGTCTCCCCGATTACAATATCCTCAATTAACTCTGTATTATTGCTGATGATCAGATTATACACGTTTCATTATTTACTAACACCCCCAACAGACAGAGAAACCTATTGTCTCTTCTTTTTTTCTCCAGATAATTCCCAGCTAACAAAGATACAACCAACGCCAACACCTCCACCTCTTACAACTCCACCACCCAATGTGCCTGTACTGTGCAGACAAAATATCTGTTTGAATGATGGAATCTGTGTTGTAGAAAATCTACAATCAGTGTGCAGGTAAAAACGTACACGCAGACATGAATTGCCTAAGGGTGGACATACACAATGATGCAACAGATTTAGCATGTGTAGAGGCTAAAGAGAACCTGTCACAGGCAATATGTTTTTAAGACCCAGCACTGTAAGATGCAAATGGAAAAACAAATTGTATTTTCAGTGAGGAAATATCTTGGTTTGTTATTTAAAGTATTTTTTATAGACAATTATTTTTTTTAATTTTAGATAAGGTATGGAATGGTTAAAACTGCTGTCTTGGTTTGTTTTACCTTCTGTGTTACATTGGGGAAATTTACATTCACGTCCTGTCCTGTGCACACAGCAGGGAACTCCAAAGGGAGGGAAGTTTTGATTTTTCTTCAGTTTCAGATTTAGTTTCAGGACTGGTGCCAGTGGTCACCAAGGCAAAGTCCTGGACAGCTTTATTCAAAGATTGGACTGGAGTGTATGTGATACATCAGTTCTACGCAGCCGGTTCTAAAGAATAAATTAAACCATTTGTTGCCAGAGCCGTTATTGCATGTTTTGCACACATGTTAAAATACACATATTAGGCCTCAAAATTGATATTTTTGTAATACATTTTGAATTGCACAATTCATATTGCACATTCACCCTCAAGGAGCATACAATCTAAGGTCCCTATCACGCATATTAGGGCCAATTAACCTACCAGCATGTCTTTGGAGTGTGAGCAGAAACTTATACAAGCACAGGGAGAACATGCAAACTCCATTCAGATAGTGTCCTCACCAGGATGCAAACCGGGGACCCCCAGTAGTACAAGGGAGAAGTGCTAATCACTAAGCCACTGTTAAGTATGTATTACATTTGTATCTTAAGCCTCCTCCAGAGTTAGTGTACAGCTATGAGAGCTAAACTGGTTTAATAGCTTCAACAGCCCCCCTTGATGGGGCACTTTTCATCCCCAGGCATTATAGCAGCTGCATGGTCTGTATTGTTATGTCACTGCATACAAGTCTATGGGAATGCAAAGCCCACATGAAGCAAGTCAAATGCAGGTCAGAAGGAGGTCAACTGCAGGTTAAATGTGCCTGTCAATGAATTCTTAATGATTATAGAGGTGATGAGTGACGCCATCGACACAAGCTCAAAGCCTGATGGCACAGATCTCACCAGAGCCCTGGATAGCAGTAAAATCCAAAAAGGGTTTTAATCTTTCTCCACGCTATCTAAAATGAAAAAAATAGGCGTGACTGGACATACACTATAAAGTATTTAATGTGCTCCTTGGAAATGTTCAAATCCAGGCTGTCTGCGTTTCTCTCTGTGTTGAACATACACATATTTGTATCACAGATTTACTGAAAAACCTTTTTACTCTACAGGTGCAAAACGTCTGGAGATCTGTGGTATGTAGGTGACAGATGTGAAAAGGAAGTCAAGAACAAAGGCAATGTGGGGACTATGTCTTCTCTATGTGCACTACTCTCTCTGTTTATGGTCACCCTTGTGAATATAGTATAACAACAGTTGATGAATGTGAGCTATCATCATAAAACAAAAAATAAAGATACTCCTGAGGCAACTTTTATTTGTATTTTTTTAATAAAGTTTGTTTTTTACTACTTTGTCCCCATTAGAGAGCTATTCACTCACATCCTGTGCTGTCATTGGAACAGGAAGTGAGAGCAAATCTCTCCCACAGGGACACAGGTGACACAGAAGTAATGGAAAAGTTAGAAGAGCATATGTTTTTACAGTATTTCTATCTATTATTTACCATCACTTCCCCTAGAAATACTAGAATAGGAAGTGAGGTCGATTCTCCTGAACACAGACAGCAATAAAAACATGACAGAAGTCAAGAAAAATAAAACTCAATAACAATGTATCTAAAAAAAAAACAAGACACAAGACCCGGTTGTAATCTACTCTATACACAAAAATGCAAGTTTTGGCTGGAGTTCAACATTAGCAAAGACTACAATGTCACAACTCATTCATTTATTTCACTTCACTGATACATATGATTGGGGTTGTAATACTTTGTTAGTATGTTTCATTTTCTTTTAGTTCTGCTTCTGATAAATTCACCAACTGCTCAGAAACAACTAACATTTAACAAACCTTGCCAATAATCTGAACTTTAAAGGTCGTTTTCACCCAAAATTGTATTTACATTTTTGCACATTGTGTTTGGTAAATTAGAATAATTATTTAAATAATCGTGATTAGTGAATTAAACTTTACTTTATTTATTACTGACTTCTGTGGGATCTTTTCCCAAGTACAATACAATTACAAAATCACTACAATAGCAAAAAAAATCTAATTAGATTGGAGACCAAGGGGTCAGCAGAATTTCAAAGACATCTCCAGAAATGCTAAATGTGGTAAAAGTACAATTGTTTACAGGACTATCTACAAAAACAGTATGTCAGTTGACTGCTGGTCATGGAATGTATAAATAAAATAAAAAATTGAAGTGGAGCTCCACCCAAAACCTTTTGTCTGGTGTTGGACAGTGCGGAGGAAGGGTTAGAACCTCTGTCTGTTTTATTGCTGTTTGCATCTCCGTAGAGGCAAAAGTTCTGAATGTCCCATTGCACACCAACCTAGAATCCTGATAAATTTATTTCAGTTAGTGCTGAAAATGACCTGCAGGTGGCGCCACATACAACCCCAATACCAAAAAAGTTGGGATGCTCTGTGAATTCTACATAATGCAATGATGCAATGATTTGCAAATCTCATAAACCCATATTTTATTCACAATAGAAAACATTTCAAATGTTTAAACTGAAAACATTTACCATTTTAATAAAAAAAAAAAAGGTAATTATGAAATTGAGGCAGCAACACGTCTCAAAAAAGTTGGACAGGGCCATATTTTTCATGGTGCACCCTCCCCTTTTCTTTTAACAACACTCTGTAAATGTCTGGGAACTGATGAAATCAGTTGCTGGAGCTTTGGGAGAGGAATGTTGTCCCATTCTTGCCTGATATAGGATTCTAACTGCACAACAGCCCTGGGTCTTTGTCATATTTTACATTTTAAGATGTGCCAAATATTTTCAATTGGTGAAAGTTCTGGACTGCAGGCAGGCCAGTTAAGCACCCAGACTCTTCTACTATGAAGACATGCTGTTGTCATAGATGCAGTGTGTGGCTTAGCATTGTCCTGATGAAACATAAAAGGCCTTCCCTGACATTGTCTGGATGGGAGCATATGCTGTTCTAAAACTTGGATATACTTTATATTTCAGCATTGGCGTTGCATTTCCAGATGTGCAAGCTGCCCATTCCATACACACTAATGCACCTCCATACCATCAGAGATGTAAGCTTTGGAAGTTAGAAATGTAAGCTTTGGAAGTATTCCTGAGCCCATGCGATGATGTCCACCACAGAATCATGCCTGTTTTTAATGCAGTGCCATCTGAGGACCCGAAGATCACGAGTATCTAGTATTGCGTTTCAGCCTTGTCCCTTGTGCACAGAGATTTCTCCAGATTCTCTGAATATTTTGATTATATGTACTGTAGACAGTGGTGAAGCTAGACATTCTGTCACCCGTGGCAAAAACTCAGAGTTTTTGCACAAACCACATCCCCTGCCCCCACCCCACACTTCTGGGCTCTTCTTCTTTTGTCCCTGTCGCGTCCCTCCTGGTCCACCACAGAGGTGAGGCTTCAAATCGCCTCATTCTTCAGCGCTGCTATGTTAATTAAACATCTGCTTCTGGGCTCGCTTCTATTTTCTCCCTTCGAGCGTGTGCTGTATATTATCATCTGCCGACTCACATGTGGTATGCTCTGTTAAAATCTTACTGGGCCCCCCCCCAGCCTCAGTCCACCCCAGGTCTCTACACCAGAGGAACTTACACTCTAATGTCCCCCCCACAGTCACACACTATTATAATTATTATTATTATACATTGCTATAGCTGTGACATGTACCACAGTTCAGTACAGAAAACACTGAGCAAGTCACAACTTTTTCTTGCACGAGAACAGGTGCAGGATAGTTGACCATAACCATCAGGAGCAATTTAAAGGCAATTTCACGCTTAAGAACCACCAAAAACTACCTTAATATTGACCTTCCCATTGTCTTCAGTGCAACTTGGCAAAATTGCAAATGGCATTTCACTGAAATCTCCTGATTTGTTTAGCATTATTTCACGTAAATAAAAACTTTCAATTTGGATTTTCCCTAATTTAAAGTAAAAAGATTGATTTTTTTAATACATATTCATGTTCAAAAAAAAGTTTATTTCTTACATTTTAGGTCACCAATCACCCAAGCTTCAATATGCCGAGTAAGGATTGATTTATGTTGGGCATACAAGTTACAATTTGATTACACAATTGTACAATATCCTTTAGAGTTGCCAGAACTATAAAACGTGAGAGTCTACCTAACCAATCCTTTTTTTTATATCCAATGAGGTAGGCTCTCACACTCCTTAACCTTTGGTAGATCTAAAGAAGATTGTACAGATTACAAAGTGTATCTTCAGCTTAATGCTTGACATTAATAGGCTATTAAATAGGCAGGCACAATCTGACCTCTCTCCTAAATCTACCTTCTGATTTCAAGTTCTTAGGGATACATCACTCTAAAAGAGAATGATACCACAACCTCATAACAATATATGAATGTTATTTTTTTCTGTTTCAAAGGAAAATATTCCTAAACTAGCTTTAAAGAAAAAAAAACTATTGTAACACAAACTACTAGTATATAGCATGGTGAAGTCCAAGGGTCTATTGAAATGGGTAAACTGTAACAGACATGTCATATACTGGGACAAAGTACAAAATTATGATAAAATCTCAGTTATATAAAAGGAAAAGTCCTGCAGATACCACTCTCCACCAAGCAATGCACAGCCGTGGAGCTGTCATGGAGTTAATTACTGCTCCACTGTTTTGGCTCCTTGTTTATTCTGCCGTCGGTCTGGTGAGTTAAATAAATGTTCTCTTTAATCATATAAGGGCTAAGTTACCCATCTACATGTAGCAATCAATGTATTAATGATCAAACATATCACATCTGAATACATTATAGTTTCTGACAATTTTACTGAATTTAGATGTAACTGTTTTAAAAACTGAGCATTTGGCGGTAAATGTAATACGTATTTATTTCAGGTATTTATATAGTGTTGTCTCAGTGCTTTACATACTGCACATATAATAATATATAAGTACCATTTAAAAAGTGAACCAGAAAACTAACGATAGATGTCCCACATGTGTGATTTCACATGATGGCCTTGGTGACAGTGGATTTGTTTGCCCAGGATCTTTATGTTTAAGGGTGGTCTTACGGTTTTTATCATATGATATGATATAAATTAATCTATTCATAATCTACTGGTAGAGGTTTAAGATCGGACTGGACATTTGGGCTGTGTAGATGTGCAGATGTGGAAATGTTCACATTAGAGGTGAGGAGATTAAGGGGGGATATGATTTCCATGTACAAAATGTTTAATGGTGGTAGCAACATTAGCGATAAACTGTTTAAAATTAACTCCGTTACAAAAACTAGAGGCCATAACCTAAAATTGGTGGAAAAAAAATTCCAGCACAAGGTGCGAAGGGGGTTCTTCACAGTAAGATCAGTTAGGGTCTGGAACTCACTGCCACAGGCGGTGATTTCAGCAAATAATGTGGAATTGTTCAAGAAACTTTTGGACGATTTCTTAAGGGACCGTAATATACAGGGGTACGGGTACTCCTAGAATGAGATCCTAATAGGTTGGACTTGATGGACTAATGTCTTTATTCAACCTCAAATACTATGAACAGAATCAGAAATCACAGCAAATGAATCAGATCATTTACGCTGATTCAGATTTTGACTTTCAGATTTGACAAATTGCTGTCAAGTAGGGTTGCACAGATACCAAGTACAGTACTCGGTACAAGTACGAGTACATGTACCGATACTTTTGAGCTCCAAGACTACACTAGAGACAAATTAAAAAGTTAGGAGGCAGCTGTCATTTGTAAGGAGCACACTGAGCTCCTGGGATTTGTACATCTCTGTTTTATTGTATGATTTTGTTTTTATAACTATGCTGCGATACCATTTTTGCAAGTACAAGTACTGATACTTGCCCAAGTACTTAGAAGTAGGGATGCACCGATGCCGATACTAGTATCGATATCAGTGCCCATACCGAGTATTTGGGCGAGTAATCATACTCGCCCAAATGCTCCGATGCCTGGCGCGTCATTAAACACTGCCCAGTTTCCTGATTGGCCGGGAAGCGGCTCCATGCTCTCTCGTCCCTTTTGATTAGAGAGCATGGAGCTGACTTCCCGGCCAATCAGGAAGTCGGGCAGCGTGTAATGACGCGCTGCCCGGCTTCCTGATTGGTGGGTAGGTTGGCCAATCAGGAAGCCGTGTAATGACGCAGCGCCCGGCATTCTGATTGGCCGGGAAGCCGGCTTCATGCTCCCTCGTCATTTCATGACGGGGGAGCATGGAGCCGGTCTCCCGGCCAATCAGGAAGCAGGGCGCCGTCCCATTACACGGTGCCCGGCTTCCATGATTGGCCAGCAAGCCGGCTCCATGCTTTCTCGTCACATAGTGACGAGAAGCATGGATAGGCTTTCTTGTTAATTGGGAAGCCAAGTGGCGAGTCTTTACACACTGCCCGGCTTCACTGCTAATCAGGAAGCCAGGTGGTGTGTCATTACACGCCACCTGGCTTCCTGAATGGGACTTCCAGTGCTCGGTAATTGGTATCGACGAGTACCGAAAAAAAATATCGGTACTCGTACTCGGTACCAAAATACCGGTATCGGTGCATCCCTACCTACAAGTACAAGTACTGATATTTGTCCAAGGTACTCGAGATACGAGTACTGATACATTTTTGTTTATTGTCATGTGACAGTTTTTCTAAAACAATACAGACTAATGATTTCAGGACAGTGGTGGAGCGCCAGAGCTAGGTCCCAGCTGCAACCGCTGCAACCCTGGTAGTTCTCATGAAAATGCCAAGTATCAGCACTGGTATCTGAAAAATATCGGTGCATTCCTACTGTCAAGGTGTCAGTTTGATTTTCCTATCTAGAAACAATGCTACCTAATTAGATCAACTGAATTACAAGTAGCCACTTTAGTCTTTAACCTTGCGTATTTGTATTATATGAAATACCATATTATCAAACCAATAAAAAAATTGCAGATGGAGTTGGATGATCATAAAATGTGACTAGCACACATACAAATACAAAGGAATAAACACTAGACATTGTATTGGTATTATAGTTATATGGATTAGTATTATACATATTGTGTTAATTAATTGAAATTATTAATTGTATCAATTAGAATTATAAACACTAGACACTGTATTGTATTACTCTTACTGTAATCCTCTGGTCGGTCCTTGCATGACTAAAAGCAAGGATTTGATCTGTTTCATTGGACGATGGGGACTTTTCTTATGATAACAAGTGATTCGACAACCTGCAGTAATAGGTATGTATAGAAAATAAAATGCATAGTATAATCAAGGACTCCACTAAGTCACATCACTCCGATGCTGTTTCAGAAGAAGAATTACAGTCTATTATGTGACAAACACTTGGGGGCCTAATTATAAAATAGTACAATGTGCTGATCTCCCTTCACTGCATGTCACTGGTATACAGCAGGATGTGAATGTCATCCTTCCCTTCAGCCTTGCACAGTTACACACACAGCACAGCTGTACTAAAACTGCTTAGTTTGATTTCACTGCACACTGTGACCCTCTCACAATGGGCATTAGAAGTTGCAGCAAGTCAGATAGAGCCTGCCCCATTTCCTGGCTGGGGAATGTCCATTTGTACTGTCCCTGGCCCACCCTATCCCACCCTTGGATTTCAGTTCTGTCAATCATGGGGGATCAACATCACATCACATGTGGGTGTTAGCTAGGGTGGTCTGTATGCAAATGCAGTCTGCCTAGGAATACCCACACCTCCACACTTAAACCCACCCATCAAGGGTGGGTAAATATCCGCTTGCATCAAGGTTAAGGACTCTTGAGAAAAGAACTGAGGCAGGGTGCTGTGATGATTTTATGACGCTATGTACAGAACTGTGCTGGCTTCTCATAGCAGCCAATGATCTGCCAGCATTGCATTACATTAACATCACTGAATCTAAAAAAAGGTAGGAATATAAAACAGAAGTGTTTTATTTTAAATGTCTTTACCATGTTGATGAGGGAAGGAAGGCACAGTATGATCAGCTTAAACTTCAGCATTAAGATATCATTCTTTTTTTTATAAAAGATGAAGGTAGTACTAGTGAAGACAATGTCCACTGTATTTTGCCATGTAAATAACCAGTTATGTTTAGGTTTTGTTATCAAAAAATCCAAAAATTATGAAGAGGCACCAGCTTTTTTTAGTGGATCTGAATTTTTTTCTAATGTGTTATATACATGTTGGCAATAATAAATTAAACTAACAGGTCTTTAGAACTCTTCACAGTTCACAGCAGGTATCAATGCATTCTTCAACTGTTAAACCTGTACAGTGTTTAAGCAAGTCACAGACCACCAACTCTCCTAATGATTGTATTGTTATTATGCATTTTCAAATCAATAAAAAAAAAAAAAAAACAAGCTTAAACACCATTGGTTAAAGTGACACTGAACTCAGGAGTTAAATCTTAACAATGTATTCAAGTACGTTAACTATTAACAGAAATGTATCTTCTTTGTGTATCCTCAAATCACCTCTGAATTCATGCTGACACTGTCCTTCCTTCTGGAGGGTGGCTACTTTTGTTCCCCATGGTCCCTGGGTGTGTTGTAAAGTAGTCACTGCTCCACGGTTTAACTCCAGAGTTTAGTGTCACTTCAAAGGAGGCAGCCAGTAACTTCCCACATTCTCTGTATTTAAAGGACTCTGCAAAATGTATTATATTGGGAAAACAATAAAATATTTAAAGTATCAAGTACATGATCACTTTAAATATATTAAAGATGGCTAAGTGGGAAAAGTAACAGCTCCAAGCTCATTCCCCTGATGGACTACAATCCCACGTTTAGTTTACTAATTTGTACTGAGGCTGTAGTCCATCATGAGAGCAAGCTTGGAGTGGTGGCTACTTTACAACACACACGGAGACTACTCTCTTCCTTTGTGATCTTGTAGAGGACAGGAAGTTCAAGGAAGCTGAGCTGAGGGGGTTGTAGCTATTTGTAAACATGATGACTGTAAGTGCTTGGACAAAAATTAAAAGAAAATCTTTGCTGGGCAATGTAGATTTGTTTGATCTGGATTCGTTATTGAAAAAAAAGTTTGAGAGTTTAATACTACTTTAATGTACACATTAACATGAACCTATGCTTTGTCCTGTATGTTAATAAAACCTCAATACTATATATATAAAGTGCTTGCCACATTCATCAGCTATTCCCCAAAACTTTTTCTTTATATATGTTTTATATATAACTAACTATATCTGTTATTTTAACTACTATATTTGCAACAATGCTCCTATGATTTAACACAGTGGTGTGTCAGCCATTACCATGGGAACAACACTTGTCAATTGCTGAAGGGTGAGAAGATGACACACCTCACCCGTGTCCCCGAAGAACCTCTGAGAAACAAGAGTATGGAGAATGGTTGTAAGACAAGGAGAATTGTTAAGTATCTTGCCCCTACCCAAACCTATTGTTTTATAGACTAAATAAAGGATTAGGCATTTGAGTCCTGTAGCTGATTGTTTGATCTTTTCTGTTACTTTTCCCACTTACCCATCTTTAATATATTTAAAGTGATCATGTACCTGATACTTTAAATATTTGATTGTTTTCCCAATATAATACATTTTGCAGAGCCCCTTAACTACAGTAAATGTGGGACGTTACTGGCTGCCTCCTTTAAAGAGACACTAAACTTAGGAGTTAAACCGTAAAAATGCATTCAAGTACCTTAACTAGGCTGTAGATCCTCAAAACATCTCTGAATTGGTGCCGACACTGTCCTTTCTTCTGGAGGGTGGCTACTTTTGTTCCTCATGGTCTCTGTGTGTGTTGTAAAGTAGTCACAACTCCAAACTCACTATGTGATGGACTACAATCTCAATACAGATTTGAAAACTAAACAGAAGATTGTAAACCATCACAGGAGTGAGCTTGGACATTGTCACCACCAATTCAGAGACGATTTGAAGATCTACAGCCGAGTGATACACAAATAAGATACATTTCTGTTAATAGTTATGGTACTTGAATGTATTTTTAAGATTTAACTCCTAAGTTTAGTGTCACTTTAAGAAGGTAGATGCTACTTTGGACAAAATCTTCCTACCCTTTAACATGCCCCACACAATGGCCAAACTGTCTTTCCTAACCTGTTTGATTGCAGATGGTCCTTTTTTTGTTCTTCTTAGGGTCATGTTATGTAAAATAGGTTTATATGTTTTTGATGTGACTATGACTAGTTATATTTTAAAGCAGCAATAACTTTTCCTGATTATGCGCAATAAAAGGAATAGTTACAGTAGGTTAGAGATAATGATTTATCCGTTTCTGCATTCCGTATGAA